GAAAGTAGACTGAAGTAGGCTGAACAGTTTATGCATTTCCCTAATGAAATGCAAAGAACAACTGAAAAGGGGCTTGCGAAATTCCCAAGAGCAGGTTACCGACTACGAAGATTGGGGGCCACCCCAATGGAAAACATTTACAAGTGCTCTTGCTGAGTGGTAATTAAATATTTATCTTCTCTTCAGCTATTTACTTTGATTAGTAGCCAAAAAGCCAAAAAACCGGAATACTGTGCAGTTCCAAGAGATTGTTGTGGGCTTTGTGCTGTTTTGTTGATTTTTAATATTTTTCAATTCTTCAATTTGTTTGTCTTTTGTTGGCGTATGATTTAGCTATGTCATTCAACTTATCTCAACTCTATGAAACTATTAACTTAAGCTGAATTTTAATCTGTATTTAAATGAAATTATATTTAGTTTCGATTTGCTTTGAAAATGTATTATTTCTTATATTTGTCAAACATTAAAAGAGTATTTAATCTTCTGTTAGCCAAAGATGCTTTATTTATTGCGTTTGTCTTTTTCATTAAATGGCTAAATTTTCGTTTGAAATTTGCCTTGCTTTCCTTTTAATAATGTTTTTATTCATTTGTTTATTGTGGAGTTGAATAGCTGCTTGAAGCTGCATATGACGCATCGATTTGGTAATTAAAAAAAGCACTTTTCTGCTATTTGTGCAATTTTATTACCTTAATAATATTTCATATATATTATCAAATATATTTGGGGATAAATAAATATTGATTGCATTGAAATTGAACTAATTTTAGTATGATTACAATTTATGTTTATTTAAGCGACAAAAGTAACTCAATTTTAAATTGTATTTTTATTGTCAATTGAGGAAAGAAAATCTTCATTTATTCGTGTACTTCATGCACTTTGAAATAATTTGTTTTTGGATTGATTATACATGGATTGTTGGCCTTTTCGATTGCATACTTCAAGGCGCCAGTTGGCAATAAAACATGTCTGACAAATGCATTGAAAATGTTTCGCACATGCAAAATAGCAAGCAACATATGCAAGCGCACCACATCATTATGGGACCACAGGGAGCAACTGACTCCAGTCGTCAACTCCAACTGGGTGCGTAGTAAATGTCGCCACAATGTCGGGTGCGGGGGGGGGGGGGGGGACTGGGTGCACAATACGCTGATGGAGTCGTTAAGTCAATTTTGTAAGAGGTGCAGGGGATGCCTGCCCGAGTTCAACCTAATGTGCAGCCGGGGAGCAGTCGTTGAAGCAATGGCCAACATGGACACACCAATTATCCAAAATGGCAACACACACACACACACACACACACACAAAAAAAAAAAACTGAAAACTGAAAACGGAAAACAGAAAACAGAAACAAAAATCCAACTTTTGGATTGGGATGCATTGTGGGGAGATTGCGCTTTTGCGGTTGTGTTAAGTTGATTTCCGGCACGTCTGTTGAACGATTTGAAAAGCCCGTTTCTAATCTGGCCTCAGCTAAACGCCGCATGACTTCAAGATGCACAGCGCCAATTATGCGTGCTGTCATCTTCATCATCTTCTCCATCAACGTCATCATCGCCATTGTGATTGCCATTTTCAACTGCCTCGCCGCTGGTCAACGTTGCATTCATAAACAGACGCTGCCCCATTATCAACGGTGTAGGTGTTTAGACACGCCCCCCATCGTCGCCGCTGTCAAATGCATCAATGTGAAAACCCCACTCATCACTTTGCACAGTGCAACGGGTAACTAATTTGAAAAATTGTAGGTAGGATTAATGTGGAATATTTAAAGATTTAAAAGAGTTTTAATTTAAATTTAGTTTGTTTTTATTGCATTGAAAAACTGCTCCCTGAAAGTATGCAGACTATCACATGTTGATTTGGATCTCTCTTATTATATACAAAATTCGAAATTTACTTTTAGCCAACTAATTGGGAAATTTCAGATTTGCCACACTGTGCTTGCTGTCTGGTTGAGACTGCTCCACCTTCAAGTTCCCTGGCGACTGAGGTGAGCTGTAAATTATACGGCTTTGCGTTTAGCCTCCATAACCCCGAGCCTGTCCATATCCAGATCTCAGTTTAGGCTGAGGTCCATGGAACAATTTGCCTGATGTGGCTGCTCCTGCAACGCAGTTTGATGTTTTGCGGTTGATGCTGATGCCGTTGCCGTTGTCAACGTTGTCGACGTTGTCATAGGCCCCTCCCCCATATGCTGTGGACCGCCCTTTTGTTGGTTGCGCTTTAAATATTCAAAGTGTGCTTTTAGGCGCTGGCAAGCGTCACGTTAAAGGACTGCCATTATGAAGGCACTTGACCATTGTCTCGTTGTGGTGCGTTTGCCAATTAATGAGATTTTCGCTTGAAAGAGCATTGCATGCCCCAGAAAAAGGTATGCATTTTTGGTGTTTTCATGTAAAATATATATGTACATATATAAAAGAAAATAAGAGACTCATTTGAGGGTGAAACCAAATTGACAGACTTTTTTGGCAAGTGCTTTAAAAGGTTATTGCCTGTCCGGTCAATTGACATACACTCTGCAAATTGGCAGGCATTTTTTGTTGGTATTTACCAAATGGCTTGCATATTTTTCACTGATAAATGGACCTGAAAAATGGCACACCAAAAATGTGATAACCCATAAAATGATAAACTGTTTATTCTCTTAACGAAAAATAACTAAAAGCTGTTGAAATAAATAATGACATGTTTGTCTGTGTATTTTAAACACTTTTCATTAATTTATTATTATTATTAAATATCAATTTAATTAGACATGATAACAAAATAGGTTTAACAGCTGTCAATTATCAAAAGCATACATTTTAATTTAAATAAGTTGAATTTTTTTCTTTTATTGGTAGCTTCAACCAACTATAACTTCATTTCCAACTTCCTGCTTGCCCCAAAATCTCTTTGCACAAATGTGTCAATGGCTGACACCTGCAAAATGCCAACCAATTTTTATACTCTATTCTTTTGTTTTTGTTCTTTGTGGCTTCGCCCCTTTGTGGTTGCAACGACCCTCAAGGGCAAGCGCTTTGAGAGAGTTCGCAACGTGCGACGGCATTTGAATAAACCACTTGGCTTGGCTTAACATGCGGAGACATGGTGGCAAATGCAAAGCAATCAAACCAAATATTTTTCAGCCACACGGGGTTGACAAGAAAAACTTTCACACCAGCTCTGCTTCATGCTGCTGTTCTCGGTTGCCTTAGCCTTTATTTTCATTAGCTAACCCAAACTATCGGAGCTGCAGCATCGGCTTCAACTGCAGCTGCAGCTGCAACTGCCACGTTTTCAACCTAGTCGAACCCAATCTGAAACCAAAAACGAACCGAAGCCAACCAAGCCAGCCAGTTATCCAGTCAGCTAACCGCAACGCTGTTGGAGCCACTGTCATTTGTTATGTTATTGGTTTGGACATTTTGCAAATTGCTTATTTAGCAGTGCGTAAAATCCACAGCACACACACACACACACACACACACACGAGTCCTAGTATCTAGTATCTACTCTCCCCATCTTCATCTTCATCTCCTGCTTCTTATTCTTTTTTTTTTTTTAAGCTGCAAGGACATACATACACATTTGTCAAGTGTGCGGTGTCTGTTATTCTTTGCTCTTCACTTTTGCCTTTTTCAATACCCTGGTCTCAAAAATATTTCTAAAATGGGTATTCGCACATATGCTTTTAATGATTTTTGCTATCGATTGCACCTAAATTACAATTATATTTACAAACAATATATAATTACATAATTGGAAATAGAAAATATAGATGTATATACTAAGTATTGCTAAGGTAAAAAGATAACAATAAATTAGCTTAAGCCGATTAAAAATGATTGATTTGAACAATGTAATAATTATTTAATAAAGAACTTTAGTCTTTTATTTATTTTATTTATGTTTTGCTTCTAAAAATGATTATAATTTGCACATATCTTTAATTTCTCAAAATCAATTTTTTGTTGCAAAAAATAAACTTTATTTTGCATTTTATAATTTCTTCTTTTATGAATATTATTTTCTTTCAAAGTGATAACAGTAGATGTTAATAAATAAGTAAGAGTTCTAGTTAAGAGTGTCAACTTGCAGTGACTCTAAGATAGATTTCTGAGTTTTAAAAATATTTCCACTTTATAATCAAGTTTTTATAAAATGTTTTGTGTATTCACATAGCTTGTTTAATATGTTTGTGCACTTATTTTTAGCTAAATACACTTCAGCAATGTAAGTTAAGCAGTAACCTATCAATAGTTATGCTGATAACAAAGCTTACAAAATATACACATAAATTATGATTTATATTTTAAATACAGAATATTTTGTAGCATATCATTGCTGAGTGGAGAGCCTCCATCTGCATTGTTGTAACTTTCATTAGGCTAAAGCCCCTCCTAAGTTACCAGCGTGGCATGCAAGTGGTTAGTTGTGCCCATATATTACCAGTTCAATGTCAAACAAAAAAAAAAAGGAAAAGAAAAAGAAAAAAGAAACAAGATGAATAAGAAGCAGAAGAGAAATGGGCCTGCGAGTTATTTAGGCAAGTGTTCGAATGTTGTCAGTGATGGTGATGCTGCTGCCACAGTGGCTGCTGTTGCTCTATGCATTTTAACCACTTGTCATCCACAGGGTTTTTCCCATCCATAATAATATTTGCTTTTCATTCTGTGCTCCTCTTCATTTTCTCTTTTCATTTTTCTTTTTTTTTCTTTTTTGGCCTGCATGTTGGCTAATTGCCTGGATACGTTTTACAGCATCGCTTTGTAGCCATAAAACTTTTTATGGCTAATATTTTGTGTGAGGCGTTTTAATTAGACGAACAACCATTAAAACTGATCTATGATATCTTTTTGACTGGTCATAAAATTAATTAAGGCTTTATGACTGACATTCGATGCCAATTTTCGTCAATATTAATGTGCCAATTTCTATAATTTTTTGGACATGCTATTAAAACGCGTTGATTGCTAATTTTTAATTAACTTTTCATATCATTGCAGTGGCGTCTGAACTGAAGCAGTCGATTGTAGGAGTAGCTAAATATCTGGATTATCTGGATGCGTTTAGCGTTTAAATGAGTCTGTATTAGTGCCATAGAAGACATATGATAATGTATCAATAAATATATGATCTAGTTTCCGATTTTATTTAATCTAATCTACACAAGTGAACAACTAAATATCAAATGTGAAGATGTAACATAGATAAGTATATAGTACGAATAAAATAGGTGAGTTTTTTAAGCTTGAACAAAAAAAATCCAATGTCAAAGCAGTCAACTATTTTCAAATCCAATAAAAGCAAGAGAATAAATTGAAAACTATAGAAATATATATTTTATTTTTAATTAATATAAAGCTAACGAATGGTGGTTATTCTGTATAGAGGGTCAAGGCACGACAACCCTTGCCAGCAGGCTCTCCCCTTTCTTCATTTAGCTGCATTGTTTTTGACTTGATTTTTTTTTTTTCCTTACACAAACAGATTTTATTTGGCTTTGTAGATCTATGTAAACACATTTGATACTCTGTTCGATTTCGGCTGCATTCCTTGAAACTACCCACACTCTCAATAAAAGCAAATCAATTTAAATTCTATGAAAGTAAACTGCCAAACTTAACTCAGTTCTATGCCTTGGCACCCACTCGAGCAACTGGAAGTAGCTCACAAGTTTCGAAATAACAACAAACTGAAACTTTTTTTGGTGTGTGTGTGTGTGTGGGGAGGTGCTAGCAACAAGACACAGATCTTTTTTGTAAAAGGCAACAAGAAACAGTTTTTTCACTAACGCACCTTCATCTCCATCTCCATCTCCATTTCCATCCACAACTCAAACCCCATACTCAAAGCACAAAAGCCTTTAGGCTGTCTTGGCAAAGTCGAGTGGGGCAAATAGAATAAGTTGCTGCGACTTTTTAAATTGAAAATAAGCTGCCAGGTAGTTGCAGGTAGCAGAGATTAAGCGCAAAATTTAAGAGCTATAAAATTAAAAATAAGTACTAAGAAACTCTCGACTAGCAGTTGCCCTGCTGTCTCAGCCAAAATATTTGCTATCCTCTTAATTAAGAATTAAATATATTTAATTATAATACATATACAACATATTTACAAGACTTTAAGTATCTGAACATTTCAGTAGAAATTTGATTTACACAATATTTTCATGAGTTTTCCTCAAGCTTTTAAGGTTATAGGTTCCAATTGAAATTGACCAAGGATATATATATATAGCTGCCTCATTTCGCCTTGTCTGGAATACAGGGTATGCAGGAAGAAAAGCAAATCTTCAACACTTGCGCCTTAATAATCGCTTTAATTACAATTAAAATGAAAGCTAAATGACTTTGCCATTGTTGCTGTAGCTACTACTGATACTACTATGAAGATGAATGACTGGTCATTTACTCCCCACCAGAGGTTAGAAGGGGGTGTTGTTGTGGGACTTGGTTTGGCTGTTGGATGGATGGATACTTAGCTTTTGCGTTCAAAGTCAAAGTCGCGATGCTATTATAATGCTAATGACGTTTAAACGCTTTTAGTTGGGGATTTTCTCTCTATAGGCAAAGAGCAGCAAACACTCAGTTAATTAGCATAAAGTTGAAACGCTTTGTGGCCTGGCAGTTGCATAACTTTTGTTTAAAGACTTTCCCACTTGCGAAGCGCATTAAAACCAACTTGAATTGATGGTTTTGCTGATTTACTGAAAGTTCTACTCAACAGCGAAGTATACTTGAAACAACACTGTGCGATTTAAATAGCCAAAATAAACACAAAATCCACTTGATTTGAGGTTGCCGGCTATATTTAAGTTGTTGTTGTGAAAATATATCAAATATTGATTGCATTGTTTTATCAAAATTTCAAAAGATAATGTTAGCATTTGCAGTATTTGTGCTCAGAGAAGATTAGTCCACTGATAGATGACAGAGAATATTGAACAATCAAATGGAATATTTTATTTCAAATTAATATTATTTTCTTCTGTTTAACTTAATTTGATACCATTTTTTGGGGTAAGTGTAAATTGAAGTTTCAGATTCCGCTGGATGATTGATTATATACATATATATAAATCTGATATGAGATGATTCTATTTTGATATCAATTTAGATAAGCAGAAAAAAGAATATTGAATTGAATTCAAGTTTGATAGAAGCTTTCGATGGTTTAGCTAAGTATTTTGTTGTCTGGCTTAACTTTTGTTTTTATTCAACCTGCACTTGGAGGCAAACATCATTAAATAGCGAATCGAATAGCTTGGGGTGCATGCATAAAAATCCATAATGAAATTGTGCGGAAACCAAACGAGGAGCCGAGGAGCCGAGGAACAGAGCCTTCAACCACCTACAATCGCCCACTGGGCGCACTAAGGCGTACATCGAGCAAATGACCGTAGGCTCTGCTCTGGCTGCCTATAAACGGACGAGACATGTCACGTTCAGCTACTCCCCAATCTTCCCCAGCTACTCCTACAACCTCCGCACACACACACACACACACACACACACATTCGTACACACATACATGCATATGGATAAAGAGAGAGAGCGAGAATCGAATGATGGCCGCAATGGAACTGAGTCAGCTTTGGTCCTGGTCCTGTTACTGGTCCTGGTCCTCGTCCTCGTCCTCGTCCTGGTGTTGCTCCCTGGTTCCGTTTGCTGTTTGCATTTTTCGCATGAAATTGACGTTTCATTTGTTATAATATGCATTGAGGCAACATTTCGATGCTCATAAATATTTAACAGACATTCATCTGTGGGGAAAAACGTTGCAGCCCAACTGAGGATGGGTTGGTGGCTTACGGTAGCCAAGCCTGTTGCAGCAGCAGATATCGCATTTATATTGAGATACAGATATACATTCGTAGATACAGATACGTCGATACGTGTGCATACACATTATGGTCATAAAAAGCTTGAGGTTCCAAGGCTCAACCTCCAGCCATTATATTATACCTTCCGTCGGTTCAACATGGGCGTTGACACATGCAACATACAACTACAATGAAAAAAAAAAAAAAAAACAACAGCAACCAGACACTGTGCAGCTCAAAGGATCAAACGGTCGACGTTGTCAAGTGCATTAATTATGGATTTAAGTCATTGAGCAGCTGGAGTAGCCGGAGTAGTTTATACAAGTTTTCGCTTAAATTGATATGCTTGAAATGCTACAGGAAACATTTTTCAACTCCTGTTTTTTCAATATGTATCTTTTCTCTAAACCATTCCATAAATATAACACAGAGCTTCACTTAAGGAAGATTCGCTTGCAGACAATAATTTGTTCCTCTTTTTAATTGGTAGAATTTGTTCAATCTGATCATGTTCCAGTAAATGATTATAAAAGGAACATAGTTCCTTTGACTTATTAAAAATATTAATTTATATATATATCCCTTAACTCGCCTCTAATCTGAGCTTGTGCTTGAGTCTATTAACAAAATAAATAACGCATTTATGACGCGATTGCTTTTGATCTTCGTCAGCAACTAAGTGCAACAAAAGTTTTAATAAACTTTCCACAAACGTCAGCAGCATTTGCAGCAAATACATCACATGCTGCACCTTTTACCCGTCGGCGATTGAGAGGCGCCTCACACGCGCTGTTTGTTTTCAGTTAAATCGCAACAATCAGCGCTAATTGGGAATTTAACAGTTCATAAAAAAAGTTTCTTTTTGCGCGCCAAAGTTCCCCTATCAACAGCCGTCAATGCTACCTGACCACCCAACCCTTATACATATATACCCACTGCTATACCACCCAATATCACTGCCTATATGCTAGTAGTCGCAGTCGAGTTGTTGACCCAAAAAGCACGCTTTATGAAGCAGCCAACTCGCAGCTATGGAATTTGCAAAGCTTCTGCCTCACTGGCGCTCAGCTGGCGCCACCTGGCGTTGGGTGGACTTAAATGATGGAATGCCTAGGTTATGCTGGTATTGCAAACACCTGCTTCTATTGCACATCACAAACACTCACACACACACACACACACACACACACACACACACACACACACACACACACACACACACACACACACACACACACACACACACACACACACACACACACACACACACACACACACACACACACACACATTAAAAAACTATCAGCATGTGTTTCATTTCACTTTCGAGGTGATGGAGGGAGACAGTCAGAGACGGGGGCCTGTGGTGGGATATTTTCAATGTTTTTGCACTGTAGGATAACATTAATTTCGCACCACTAATTACAGTTCTTTTTTATGCCCACCCCTACCCCATTCACCGCCCCCACATCCGTTTCCCATGCAGGCAGGGCCGCTTTTTTTCAGGGTTCACTTTGCGTAATTATGCGATGTGATGATGGGTTGGGGGCGGGCAGGAAGAAACATGTGAGAGTCTTTGCTACTTAACTCAGTTGGGAAATAACGTTATAAAAATTTTGCAACAACAAAAATAACATACAAACACACACACACACAACATTAAATAGCACATGCCAAATGTCTGGGGCCTTCAAATGAGAACCAACTGAAATGAGTTTTAAATGCCACGCTTAATGCTAAGTGCTTAAGTTTTCCGAGCACATATTTTCCATTCATTAACTTATTTTTCATCTAAATTGGACTTGTGTCTAGGACCAAGATGTAGGGTAAGTGCTGCCATCCTCAGATATAGCTGGCATAAAAGCGGAATGAATAGTTTGATATCTAAGTAATTTGATTAATGAATGCAAGTTAAATTAGTTTTATGCTTGGGAAAACATAACTTTCATTAAATTAAAGAAGAATAAAAAACTGGTGAGAGCGTTGCTGTCGGGCAAAACCGAAGTCTCCGGAACAATTGGTATCTGAAACACAAAATTTGGTAACTTTATTTGTTGGAGATGTAGGCTCTCCCGATCTATGAGGTTGAAGCTGGCCAAGATATTGTAAGTGCTCAGAGATTGGTCAAAACTTTCTTGTTAAAACCATACCCTTTCAAAGTGCTTTGTCAAAAGTGTTTCGACTTTCATAAGCCAGGACTTTTTGATCATAGTTTGACATAGCTACATAAATACGACATGCAAACCTGGAAATGTGATTCCAAATCGAAATTCATTCTTAAACTTTCCAGATTATAAGAGATACATATTTTCCATATTAGACTCGCTAAGTCACTTTCCATACGCAGTAAATATACATGGAATAATTAGTTTATTCCTCACACTTTAATTTCTTCAAGTGTACGTCTTCAAATGACAGTTCTTTCTTATATTGATGTGAAGAACATCATGTTAAACAGCTCCATAAAATGATGTCGACTACTTT